AGGCCCAGCAGGCTCCACCCACTGGAAGGGGTGGGGGGGGGGGGGGGGGGCGAAGACAAGACCAGCCACCTTGCACAATGACAGGGAGAGGAGCTGTAGGAGGGGCCCAGCAGGCTCCACCCACAAGACCAGTCACCTTGCACAAGGGCAGGGAGAGGAGCTGTAGGAGGGGCCCAGCAGGCTCCACCCACTGGAGGGGGGTGAAGACAAGACCAGTCACCTTGCACAAGGACAGGGAGAGGAGCTGTTGGAAGGGCCCAGCAGGCTCCACCCACTGGGGGGGTGGAGACAAGACCAGTCACCTTGCACAAGGACAGGGAGAGGATCTGTAGGAGGGGCCCAGCAGGCTCCACCCACAAGACCAGTCACCTTGCACAAGGACAGGGAGAGGAGCTGTAGGAAGGGCCCAGCAGGCTCCACCCACTGGGGGGGTGGAGACAAGACCAGTCACCTTGCACAAGGACAGGGAGAGGAGCTGTAGGAGGTGCCCAGCAGGCTCCACCCACAAGACCAGTCACCTTGCACAAGGACAGGGAGAGGAGCTGTAGGAAGGGCCCAGCAGGCTCCACCCACTGGGGGGGTGGAGACAAGACCAGTCACCTTGCACAAGGACAGGGAGAGGAGCTGTAGGAGGTGCCCAGCAGGCTCCACCCACAAGACCAGTCACCTTGCACAAGGACAGGGAGAGGAACTGTAGGAGGGTTGGGGCTTCGGAGGGGGTGGGGGAGTGAAGGGGGGGTAGGGGGGGGGGTGGGAGTGGTGCACTTGCGGGAATACCGGACGACGTTGGTGAAGGACAGTTGCATGTGCTCCTCGGTGGTACGCAAGCCGAAGAACTTGGTGTTGAAGAACATGAGCGTGTTGAGGAGGACGTAGGGGGAATAGACGCCCAACTGCTTACAGTCCCACAGATGTTCTTCCTCCACGCGTGACAACATCAGCCCTGAAATTGGGGCACAAGTCAGGGAGAAGTCTTCAGAGACATAGCCTACATACCTTCGTCCCCTCCCCCACCCCCTGGATGTTCCCGCCCCCACATTGAACCCCATTTCTTACGATTGGGCGTCAAGTTTCGGTGCCAGGCGGTCAGTATCTTATTCAGCTCCTGGACGAAGGTCAGGTAATAGAGATCTGTGAAGATGTTCACCATCCGGTTATTTTCCAGGAGATACTAGAAGACGAGAAGAGGAATCAGACATCACCGGAGAAACCTCCATGATAAATACAACTCACACGGCACTGGATACATATATACATGGAGGGGGCTCGGTGCTTCCCCATTGGTGCACCAATAATGTCACGCAGTGGCTCCTCCCAGGACTGTGAGTCATGGTGGAGTACTGGACCAGGCCCATCCTATCCATTGTGCTGGACCTTCCAGATCAGGTCTCCGGTGCACAAGGTGGATGGAGTCCTGAAGATCTCCCACTCTGGTGCTACAAGTCCACCCACCATGGAATTATGGGAATTGTAGTTCCCCTTCAGGCCGTGGCACATGGACACATAACAAAAGCCCAGTGGTTACACCTTTCTACCCCTCTGCCTACAGGGCACTTCTACCCCCTTCCTGCCCGCGGGCACTTCTACCCCCTTCCTGCCTACGGGCGCTTCTACCCCCTTCCTGCCTGCCGGGCGCTTCTACCCCCTTCATTCTACCCCCGCCTACCGGGCACTTCTACCCCCTTCCTGCCCGCCGGGCACTTCTACCCCCCCTTCCTGCCCGCAGGGCACTTCTACCCCCTTCCTGCCCGACACGGGCGCTTCTACCCCGGCACTTCTACCCCCTCCCTGCCTACAGGGCACTTCTACCCCCTTCCTGCCTACAGGGCGCTTCTACCCCCTTCCTGCCTACAGGGCGCTTCTACCCCCTTCCTGCCTACAGGACGCTTCTACCCCCTTCCTGCCTACAGGGCGCTTCTACCCCCTTCCTGCCTACAGGACGCTTCTACCCCCTTCCTGCCTACAGGACCTTCTACCCCCTTCCTGCCTACAGGGCACACTTCTACCCCCTTCCTGCCTACACCGGGCACTTCTACCCCCTTCCTGCCCACAGGGCACTTCTACCCCCTTCCTGCCCACCGGGCACTTCTACCCCCTTCCTGCCCACCGGGCACTTCTACCCCCTTCCTGCCCACCGGGCACTTCTACCCCCTTCCTGCCCTACAGGGCACTTCTACCCCCTTCCTGCCCTACGGGCACTTCTACCCCCTTCCTGCCTACAGGGCACTTCTACCCCCTTCCTGCCTACAGGGCACTTCTACCCCCTTCCTGCCTACAGGGCACTTCTACCCCCTTCCTGCCTACAGGGCACTTCTAGCCCCTTCCTGCCTACAGGGCACTTCTACCCCCTTCCTGCCTACAGGACACTTCTACCCCCTTCCTGCCTAAAGGACACTTCTACCCCCTTCCTGCCGCCGGACACTTCTACCCCCTTCCTGCCCAGGGCACTTCTACCCCCCTTCCTGCCTACAGGGCACTTCTACCCCCTTCCTGCCGCCGGGCACTTCTACCCCCCCCTTCCTGATGGGCACTTCTACCCCCTTCCTGCCTACAGGGCACTTCTACCCCCTTCCTGCCTACAGGACACTCTTCCTGCCTACTACCCCCTTCCTGCCTACAGGACACTTCTACCCCCTTCCTGCCTACCGGACACTTCTACCCCCTTCCTGCCTACAGGGCACTTCTACCCCCTTCCTGCCTACAGGGCACAGGGCACTTCTACCCCCTTCCTGCCTACAGGGCACTTCTACCCTTGTTTTCCTGCCTACAGGGCACTTCTATTTTTTCCCCCTTCCTGCCTACCGGGCACTTCTACCCCCTTCCTTGATAGGATGTCCCCCCCCCCCTTCCTGAGCAGGGCCTGATGGGCACTGATAACGGCACTGCACTTAATGGGCACAGATGCAGTTCGTGCACTACCGAATGAAACTGATGGGCCCTTTTTCCCCACCAATAAAGCTTTTCTTTGTGGCATTTCATCGCCTGTGCAGTTTTTATTTTTTTGCGCTATAAACAAAAACTGACCAACAATTTTCAGGAAAAAAAAACTGGCATTTTATATATATATATAGAGAATACGGCCAAAATTGTAGCATTTCCATATATATTTATCTTCCATGTGGGTTACCGACGTTGTGTAGAGACACTGATGTACAACGCCTGGAATGCACGACACCCAGACAAGGACACCCGCGGAGCTCGCCTGCCTGCCGTACACCCAGACAAGGACACCCGCGGAGCTCGGCCTGCCTGCCGTACACCCAGACAAGGACACCCGCCGACTGCTCGCCTGCCGTCCACCCAGACAAGGACACCCGCGGAGCTCGCCTGCCGTATACCCAGGACAAGGACACCCGCGGACTGGATGGGCCTGCAAGGCATGATGGACACACCAGACAAGGACACCGCGGAGCTCACTGCCGTACATCAGCCTGCCCTTGAGGACACCCCGTAGATGCTCCCTGCCGTCCACCCAGACAAGGACACCGCGGAGCTCGCCTGCCGTGACACCCAGACAAGGACACCCGCGGAGCTCGCCTGCCGTCCACCCAGACAAGGACACCCGCGGAGCTCGCCTGCCGTCCACCCAGACAAGGACACCCCGAGCTCGCCTGCCGTACACCCAGACAAGGACACCCGCGGAGCTCTGCCTGCCGTACACCCAGACAAGGACACCCGCGGAGCTCGCCTGCCGTCCACCCAGACAAGGACACCCGCGGAGCTCGCCTGCCGTCCACCCAGACAAGGACACCCCGCGGAGCTCGCCTGCCGTCCACCCAGACAAGGACACAACCCGCGGAGCTCACCTGTGGGACACCCCAAGGAAATATTGCCGTACACCCAGACAAGGACACCCGCGGAGCTCGCCTATATCCACCCAGACATGGACACCCGCGGGGACACTTATTCCACCCAGACAAGGACACCCTGATCGAAAAACCTTTTTTATTTAATTTTTATTGAGACAATAACACCCGCGGATTTTCTCACCTGCCATTACACCCAGACAAGGACACCCGCAGAGCTCACCTGCAGTCCACCCTGACAAGGACACCCGCTGAGCTCGCCTGCCGTACACCCAGGATGGGACCCGCAGAGCTCACTTGCCGTACACCCAGACAAGGACACCCGCGGATTCGCCTTACACCCAGACAAGGACACCCGCTTCACTCTGGGACCCTGTGATAACACCCAGACAAGGACACCCGCGGAGCTCGCCTTCACACCCAGACAAGGACACCCGCGGAGCTCGCCTGCCGTCCACCCAGACAAGGGGACACGACCCCGCGGCGCTCGCCTGCCGTCCACCAAGACAAGGACACCCGCGTAGGCGCTCGCCTGCCTGTCCACCACCAGACAAGGACACCCGCGGAGCTCGCCTGCCGTCCACCCATACAAGGACGTATTTTTTCCCCCGCAAGCTCGCCTTTTCCCCCCACCCAGAAATGGGGGGAAGTCTCTGCCTTATGGCGCTCACCTGTTGAGAATGATTATTCCCCAGACAAAGGTAGAATATACTGTAGCTCCGGCTCGTTCTGCGCTCAGTCCGTTGTCCTCAGTCCAGCTGTGTCCTCATCAACTCATCATCTTCGTGTATTTCCTTCACAAACTGCGCCAAGCCGTAATTCAGCTGGCCGCCGTGTCACGTCAGGATGTCCTCTGGTTTATACGCATGCGGTTTAGCTGAAGGAAAGAAAAAAGAAAACTTTTTTTTTAATTTTTTTTTTATTTAAATATTTAATTAATAATTTTCACATGAATAACAATAAACAATTTCATCTCAATCATCATAAATATACAATTTTTTCTTATTATTTCAATTACCCCCCCTCTTAAAACCTTGACCGCAGTCCCCCCCCACTCTGCATTTCCTTGCGGTCTTGGAAAAAAAAAAAAATAAATAAATAAAAAAAAAGAAAAAAGAAAACTTTATATATCTCCTGTGTGTGTTGAAAATAAATATCTGTCCAGACATCACTAACCGGATCAATCACTGTTTTTGTGTGGAAGTCTCTGGTCATTCTGTACATGTCAAATAGTCTCTGGTCATCAGGTGTACCGTAGAGTAATAGAAATCCAACTGGACAGTCATGACATGCATGCTGCTGATTCTGTGTCATTGAATCACTCATTACCGTGTCCGCAGTCTCACAATCATAGCCGTGTGAGTTCCGCAGTAGTGAGGTCATTCTGTCTTTGTCCGCAAGTCTTGCCCTCATTTAAGGAAGGTGTCAGCAAAGTCTTGGTCATCCCCTGGTTACAGTGTGTCTCGCAGTCTCTGGTCATCCCCTGGGTGGTTCCAGACAGTTCAGAAGGTCAGCGTACCTTGATTAAAAAGTTGATGTCCGCAGAAAACATATAAAGGTCATCCCCTGTATGTGTCTGCAGTCTAAAATGATGGTCATGCCCCTGTAATGGTCCGACCAGTCCTGGTCGATCCCTGAAAGCGAAAAACTACGTAACATTGGAATGGATAGATTAGCCAAAATGGGTCCGGAGTCTCTGGTCAACAATCCTGTACCGTGTCCGCAGAAAGAAGGTGTCACTTTCCCTGTGAGGACTGTGTCCAACAATCAGTCTCCCTGGAAGATGAAAGAAGGTGTGACTGGTTCCCTGTACTGTGTTACAATTCTGAAGTCATGCCTGTATGTGTCCAAGTCTCTGGTCATCCCCGCTGTGTCCGCACTCTCTGGTCAGACGTCCTGTTACTGTGTCTGCCAAAGAGTCATCTCCATTGACGGTCCGCAGAGAAATGGTGCAACTCCTGTACTGATGTCCGGAAGTCTCTGTTCTTTTTGGGTCTAGTGGGCGGGTCAGTTTGTACTTTGTCCCCAAACACTGAATTCAAGCCTCCAGTACACTGTGAAGACCGTGCAGCATGGTGGTGCAAGCCCATGTACTATGTCCGCAGTCTCTCTCATACTCAGTGTTACTGTTTATCGCATACCAGGGATCATGGATCTGTTTGAATCCATCAGAATACTTGAAGAGTCATGCTGCCTTACTGCTGAAGAGGAAATCCCTTGAAATGGGTGTCCAACAGTCAACTGGACCCCAAACACACCAGTAAACTGTGCAACATCTTATGTGTCCGACAGTCAAGATGACCATCTCCTGTAGTATGTCTGCAGTCCATTGGTTCAGAATATTTTTTTCTTGTCTCCCTCCTCTAAAACCTAGGTGCATCTTTTGGAACCAAAAATGCGATATATAAATATATGGATATATAGAGAATGTATATGTGGATTATATATGAATCTGGGCTACTTGAATGTGTCTCTTAACATGGCATATACAATTAGTACAATGTACATCCCCCCTTCTCAAAAGCCAACCATTTATTTAATTACACACCATGTTCCAAATTATTCTGCAAATTCTATTAAGTGTCACAAAGATGAAATATTTTGTTTTTCAGTGTAACTCATGGATGGCATTGTGTGTCAGGGCTCTTTTGATCACTGAAAACAATCTGGGACACCTGTGATAATTAGATTGGCCGGTGAGCCCAATTGAAGGAAAAACTCCTAAAGGACGGCGTTCCACATTATTAAGCAGAGCGCCATTTTCCAGCAATATGGGGAAGAAAAAGGATCTCTCTCTGCTGCCGAAAAGAGTGAAATAGTTCGATGCCTTGGACGAGGATGAAAACATTCGATATTTCAGGAAAACGTAAGCGTGATCATCGCACTATGAAGAGATTTGTGGCTGATTCAGAGCACAGACGGGTTGGTGCAGATAAAGGCACATTGAGGAAGATTTCTGCCAGATCCATGCATCGGATCAAGAGAGCAGCTGCTAAAATCCCATTACATAGCAGCAAAACAGATATTTGAAGCTGCTGGTGCCTCTGGAGTCCCACGGACATCAAGGTGTAGAGTCCTCCAGAGTCCTGCAACTGTGCAGAAACCTTCTATTCGGCCACCACTAACCAATGCTCACAAGCAGAAATGGCTGCATTGGGCATGAAGACTAATTTTCAAACAGTCCTGTTCACTGATGAGTGCCGTGCAACCCTGGATGGTCCAGATGGATGGAGTAGTGGATGGTTGGTGGACGGCCACCCTGTTCCAACAAGGCTGCGACGTCAGCAAGGCGGTGGTGGAGTCATGTTTTGGGCCGGAATTATGGGAACAGAGCTGGTCGGCCCCTTTAGGGTCCCCGAAGGTGTAAAGATGACCTCTGCAAAGTATGTGGAGTTTATGACTGACCACTTTCTTCCCTGGTACAGAAGGAAGAACTATGCTTTCCGTAATAAAATCATCTTCATGCATGACAATGCACCATCTCATGCTGCAAAGAATACCTCTGCATCAATGGCTGCTATGGGGATAAAAGGAGAGAAAGTCATGGTGTGGCCTCCATCCTCCCCTGACCTCAATCCTATTGAGAACCTTTGGAGCATCCTCAAGCAAAAGATCTATGAGGGTGGGAGGCAGTTTACATCCAAACAGCAGCTCTGGGAGGCGATTCTGACATCTTGCAAACAAATTCCAGCAGAAACTGTCCAAAAACTCCCAAGTTCAATGGATGGAAGACTTGTGATCTGCTATCAGATAAGGGCTCCTATGTTACAATGTAACGTGACGCTTCAAATGGTTACAAAGTTACAATGTTGGGAAAAGTTGATTGAAATAGCTTTTGATTTCAGTAAATTTGCTGCAAACACAACAAATGACAATTTTCAGTTCTTTACAACCTAGAAAGTGTTTGGAAACTTACCGTATTTTTTGCTCCATAAGACGCACTTTTTTCCCCCCAAAAAAGGGGGGAAATGTCAATGTGTCTTATGGAGCGAATGTAAAGCGGCCGGTCCGGTATTTCTGCCGCCATCATGTCAGAATACCGGGCCGGCCGCTCAGCTGTTCTCTCCTGCAGGACCTTACCTGTTCCTCGCTCTAGAGCTGCAGTCTTCCCGCGGCAGCTTCTGTGACAGCCGGGTGCCCACTGCGCATGCGCGAGAAGCGCCGCGCTTTGTGAATGGTCCGGCTGCTTCTGGGAGACATGACAGCTCCCAGAAGGCTCCGGGCCATTCACAAAGCGCAGTGCATCTCACGCATGCGCAGTGGGCACCCAGCTGTCACAGAAGCCGCCGCGGGAAGAAGGAAGGACAACTCTGCGGAAGTGGGAGCGGGTACCTGTCAAATTCAGCTACCTGTACCCCCTCCCTCCCCAAAGGTCCGCAGTCTCTGGTGATCCCCCGGACTGTGTCCGCAGTCTCTGGTGATCCCCCGGACTGTGTCCGCAGTCTCTGGTGATCCCCCGGACTGTGTCCGCAGTCTCTGGTGATCCCCCGGACTGTGTCCGCAGTCTCTGGTGATCCCCCGGACTGTGTCCGCAGTCTCTGGTGATCCCCCGGGACTGTGTCCGCAGTCTCTGGTGATCTCCCGGACTGTGTCCGCAGTCTCTGGTGATCTCCCGGACTGTGTCCGCAGTCTCTGGTGATCCCCCGGACTGTGTCCGCAGTCTCTGGTCATCTCCTGTACTGTGTCCGCAGTCTCCGGTCATCTCCTGTACTGTGTCCGCAGTCTCTGGTTATCTCCTGTACTGTGTCCGCAGTCTCTGGTCATCTCCTGTACTGTGTCCGCAGTCTCTGGTCATCTCCTGTACTGTGTCCGCAGTCTCTGGTCATCTCCTGTACTGTGTCCGCAGTCTCTGGTCATCTCCTGTACTGTGTCCGCAGTCTCCTGGTCATCTCCTGTACTGTGTCCGCAGTCTCCGGTCATCTCCTGTACTGTGTCTGCAGTCTCCGGTCATCTCCTGTACTGTGTCTGCAGTCTCTGGTCATCTCCTGTACTGTGTCTGCAGTCTCTGGTCATCTCCTGTACTGTGTCCGCAGTCTCCGGTCATCTCCTGTACTGTGTCCGCAGTCTCCGGTCATCTCCTGTACTGTGTCCGCAGTCTCTGGTCATCTCCTGTACTGTGTCCGCAGTCTCCGGTCATCTCCTGTACTGTGTCTGCAGTCTCCGGTCATCTCCTGTACTGTGTCTGCAGTCTCTGGTCATCTCCTGTACTGTGTCCGCAGTCTCTGGTCATCTCCTGTACTGTGTCCGCAGTCTCTGGTCATCTCCTGTACTGTGTCCGCAGTCTCTGGTCATCTCCTGTACTGTGTCCGCAGTCTCTGGTCATCTCCTGTACTGTGTCCGCAGTCTCTGGTCATCTCCTGTACTATGTCCGCAGTCTCTGGTCATCTCCTGTACTGTGTCCGCAGTCTCTGGTCATCTCCTGTACTGTGTCCGCAGTCTCTGGTCATCTCCTGTACTGTGTCCGCAGTCTCTGGTCATCTCCTGTACTGTGTCCGCAGTCTCTGGTCATCTCCTGTACTGTGTCCGCAGTCTCTGGTCATCTCCTGTACTGTGTCCGCAGTCTCTGGTCATCTCCTGTACTATGTCCGCAGTCTCTGGTCATCTCCTGTACTATGTCCGCAGTCTCTGGTCATCTCCTGTACTATGTCCGCAGTCTCTGGTCATCTCCTGTACTGTGTCTGCAGTCTCTGGTCATCTCCTGTACTGTGTCTGCAGTCTCTGGTCATCTCCTGTACTGTGTCTGCAGTCTCTGGTCATCTCCTGTACTGTGTCTGCAGTCTCTGGTCATCCCTGTACTGTGTCTGCAGTCTTGGTCATCCCCTGTATTTATGTCCGCAGTCTCTGGTCATCTCCTGTACTGTGTCTGCAGTCTCTGGTCATCCCCTGTATTATGGCCGCAGTCCATTGGTTCAGAATATTTTTTTTCTTGTTTTTCTCCTCTAAAACCTAGGTGCGTCTTATGGAGCGAAAAAATACGGTACTCTGCGGAGTAATTTGGAACACAAATCCTGTCATGATTAGGAGGTTTGTTCAATAAAATGTGAATTGTCCTCTTCTAGTTGTAACCTGAGAATTATACTGACTGTTATTTACATCAATTATTGAGGGAAATCAGAAAAATATCATCCGCAGAATAATTTGGAACGCGGTGTAAATATTCATGAAGTCATTCAAAGGAAAGCAAAATCTTCAAACATTTCTCAGTTTATATAGTGAATGTTTGAGTTTGTAAAGAAGAATACAAACACGGCCATTTTTTTTTGAACCGTCTAATATTCACTTTTCTTCCATTTTTTTAGAGGAACACACAAATTTGATGTATTTTTCTTCATGTTGTGATTTGGAATAGAATGTGTCGTGTTCCCAATGCATTTGTGTGGATGGAAAGAAAAGGATTAGAAGGATTTGCAGCTTTACTCACTTTTATCATCACAAGGATATTATTGTGAACACAACTGTACATTAGATCGATGTCTTCATCGAATAGATTACATTCTATACATTAAAGATCAGAGGAAAACAAATGCAGGAGGAATGCAGAGGAAACAACTGGGGAGATCAGAGGAAACAATTGGAAGGAATGCAGGAGGAGATCAGAGGAAAGGCAGGAGATCAGAGGAAACAACCAGAAGGAATGCAGGAGGAGATCAGAGGACACAACTGGAAGGAAAGGAGAGATCAGGAGGAAATCAGAGGAAAAAACTGGAAGGAATGCAGGAGGAGATCAGAGGAAAAAACTGGAAGGAATGCAGGAGGAGATCAGAGGGAAACAACCCGGAAGGAAAGCAGGAGGAGATCAGAGGAAACAACTGGAAGGAGGAGATCAAAGAAACACTGGAAGGCAGGAGATCAGAGGAAACAACCAGAAGGAATGCAGGAGGAGATCAGAGGAAACAACTGGAAGGAATGGAGGAGGAGGAGATCAGAGGAAACAACCAGAAGGAATGCAGGAGGAGATCAGAGGAAACAACTGGAAGGAATGCAGGAGGAGATCAGAGGAAACAACTGGAAGGAATTCAGGAGGAGATCAGAGGACACAACTGGAAGGAATGCAGGAGATCAGAGGAAACAACTGAAAGGAACGAAAGATCAGAGGAAACAACTGGAAGGAATTCAGGAGGAGATCAGAGGAAACAACTGGGAATGCAGGAATGCAGGTGGAGATCAGATCAGAAGAAACAACTGGAAGGAATGCAGGAGGAGATCAGAGGAAACAACTGGAAGGAAAGCAGGAGGAGATCAGAGGAAAAACTGGAAGGAATGCAGGAGGCGATCAGAGGAAACTGGAAGGAATGCAGGAGGAGATCAGAGGAAACTGGAAGGAATGCAGGAGGAGATCAGAGGAAACTGGAAGGAATGCAGGTGGAAATCAGAGGAAACTGGAAGGAATGCAGGAGGAGATCAGAGGAAACTGGAAGGAATGCAGGAGGAGATCAGAGGAAACTGGAAGGAAAGCAGGAGGAGATCAGAGGAAGGAAAAGCAGGAGGAGATCAGAGGAAAAAAATCAGAGAAAAAGAAGGAATGCAGGAAGGGATCAGAGGAAACAACCGGAAGGAAAGCAGGAGGAGATCAGAGGAAACAAACCCGTCTTTTCCACTTACGGCCAAAGCGTATTTCCTCGGCTTTGCTGGGCTCGCCCCCCTCGTACTTCCGCTGCACCCAGGACTTCCAGGCGTTCACTCCATACGTGTAGCTCAGGTTGGTGGTTGTACGCGGACTGGACACGGAGTAGTCCCGCGAGGAGCTCTCTTTTTCAGACACAATCATGCGTTTAGGACCCTGTAGGACAGAGGAGACCGGCATTACCATGGGGGGCAAGGGGCCACACACACAGGATGTGATCAGAGACTGCGGACATAGTACAGGGGATGACCAGAGACTGCGGACACAGTACAGGAGATGACCAGAGACTGCGGACACAGTACAGGAGATGACCAGAGACTGCGGACACAGTACAGGAGATGACCAGAGACTGCGGACACAGTACAGAGATGACCAGAGACTGCGGACACAGTACAGGAGATGACCGGAGACTGCAGACATAGTACAGGAGATGACCAGAGACTGCGGACATAGTACAGGAGATGACCAGAGACTGCGGACACAGTACAGGAGATGACCAGAGACTGCGGGACACAGTACAGGAGATGACCAGAGACTGCGGACACAGTACAGGAGATGACCAGAGACTGCAGACACGGTACAGGAGATGACCAGAGACTGCGGACACAGTACAGGGATGACCAGAGACTGCAGACACAGTACAGGAGATGACCAGAGACTGCAGACACGGTACAGGAGATGACCAGAGACTGCAGACATAGTACAGGAGATGACCAGAGACTGCGGACATAGTACAGGAGATGACCAGAGACTGCGGACATAGTACAGGAGATGACCAGAGACTGCAGACATAGTACAGGAGATGACCAGAGACTGCGGACATAGTACAGGAGATGACCAGAGACTGCGGACATAGTACAGGAGATGACCAGAGACTGCGGACACAGTACAGGAGATGACCAGAGACTGCGGACACAGTACAGGAGATGACCAGAGACTGCGGACATAGTAGGGGGATGACCAGAGACTGCGGACACAGTACAGGAGATGACCAGAGACTGCGGACACAGTACAGGAGATGACCAGAGACTGCGGACACAGTACAGGAGATGACCAGAGACTGCAGACAGTACAGGAGATGACCAGAGACTGCGGACATAGTACAGGAGATGACCAGAGACTGCGGACATAGTACAGGAGATGACCAGAGACTGCGGACACAGTACAGAGATGACCAGAGACTGCGGACACAGTACAGGAGATGACCAGAGACTGCGGACATAGTACAGGAGATGACCAGAGACTGCAGACACAGTACAGGAGATGACCAGAGACTGCGGACATAGTACAGGAGATGACCAGAGACTGCAGACACAGTACAGGAGATGACCAGAGACTGCAGACATAGTACAGGAGATGACCAGAGACTGCAGACATAGTACAGGAGATGACCAGAGACTGCAGACATAGTACAGGAGATGACCAGAGACTGCGGACATAGTACAGGAGATGACCAGAGACTGCAGACATAGTACAGGAGATGACCAGAGACTGCGGACACAGTACAGGAGATGTGGACTGCTGGAGATAACAGTGATGGATGGGAAATACAGACTGGTGTCTGCAGGGGCCCTCGGGCCCTCAACAAAAAGTACCAAAGGGCCACAAGCTGTAGGAAATGCAGCCGCCCCCATTATAGCAATGACATGAATTAGGAGTGTAGCAAACCTCTAGGCCCCTCCCCTGCCCCTGCCCCTCCCCTCAATGCCCCTCCCCCGCCCCTGAAATACTCACTTTCTTCACCACCCGCGCTGTGTCTTGCTCTTGCGCTTCATCCGATAGGCCGCAGTCAAACAAGTAATCGACGCTCTGATTGGCCTCCGGCGTATCTGCCAAACAAACACAAAGGTGACATTTCCATTGCCAGGAAGGCGGCGGCCTCATGGAGCCACTCTCACGCGTTGCCGTCCCCCTCAGACTGACCACGCCAAGCAGATCTGTGCTGGTGTGGTCAGTCTGTATCTGGATTTGCTGTAACTGGACGCCATGTCAGTGGGCTGCCCGTCTGCCTGCCTGTCCTTCCTGGGGGAGGGAGAGGAGTGTGGCAGCGTGCCTGGAGTGATGCCCCCTGAGCAGCCCTCTGAACGTGAAGGCCCACCCACCGAGGGGACGCGTACGTGACCTCTGAACGTGAAGGCCCGCCCAC